GTTCTTTACCTATCCCTGTTTCTGATGCTTCTAGGTCCTCCTGTAGAATTAAGTTGTCCTGCATTGTTTGTACTCCTTTTTCCCTTGTTTTTTCATGATGTTCACGCTACTTTCCAGCTCTATTTGATTGCTGTGTTTCTGCTCTCTTCTATAAATTTGTTTTTTTTTTATATCTCTGTTGTCTCTCCTTTATGTTGGTAGACTATGCTTGCTAAAGTGGATTCCGCTGGGAAGGAATTCCGACGGCCGAGCTCCAGTGACGTCACCTCTCTGCTATGGCGGGCCTCAGGCTCCTTACTGGAGTGTCTGAATGGAGGGGTGGGACCGGAGTGTCTCTGGTTGTTTTGAGCTCCCGGACGCCGGCGGCTGCGCGGTCTCCAGCTGCCCAGTCGCGCTGGCAGCCAGCATGCGATTGGTTGCCGGCGGGCGTGCGGTTTCCAGCTGCTCAGTCGCAGGGGCAATGGGCCGGCTGTCGCTGGTGGGTGGGCGATCTCTAGCCACCCAGTCACAGGGGCAATGGGCTGGCTGTTGCTGGTGGGCGGGCAATCTCTAGCTGCCCAGTTGTGCGGGCGGCAGGTGGAGTTTCACCAGCGGGTGTGCATTCTACAGCCACCCAGTCGCGAGGGCTTGGCCTCTAGTCCCCTGGTTTCTCCTGCTAGTCCTGGTTTCTCCTGCTAGACCAGATTTCCCCTGAGTAATGCCTCTCGGCAGTTCAAACTGTACTCTGGGCCTGCTGTTTGTTGGGGGTGGAGGGTGGCTATTGAGAACACCCCCACTCTATTGTTTTGATTTTTTCTGCTTGCCTTTCCCCCCTGCGCTGGCAATACAGGTTTCATTTTCCCCGCTGATGGGAGGGGGAGTTGAAGGTCGGGTGTCTCTAGTTTTCCCAGCATCTTTATGCAGGCTTGCTCTGATAATCCCTCCCCCGGAGAGCCTAGGAGAGATTTTATGTGAATTCCCCGCTGTATGGGAGATGAGCTGAGCAACACGCACATGTTTTATTGTTGCAATTAAGAGTGGCGGTGGTTACTTCAGCTCTCCAAGATGGTGGCCGCTGGTTTCCTTGCCTGTGTTTTAATCTTAAAAATGTGTGGTCTTTGGAGCAAGACATATACTCTTCTAAATACCATAATACAATGCTTGCATTATTGGCTCTTATTTAGCGTGAATTTGTTACTGATTCATTGTCATGTAAACTATCTGTGAACAGATCTTATGTTCCTTGAGTCTTTCATAGCACTTTAAAGCAAAGGTTTGAGCTCATGATTATGACTTCAGAAACTTATTTAAAAACTAGTACTTTAACTGCAAAAATACAGATTTACCACATGGTGGCAGCAAAGGTACATTGTTAATTTTGCAGGTCCACATTATCCTTCAGCCTACTAGAAATTCTTACTATCCTTTTAGCAAATGTAAAATTATTGTAAATGACTAATTAATTAATGAAGAAGTTTAGTGGAATGTTATACAATGAACATATATTAGTATAAAGAAGTTCAAAAAGATCTTTGGAGTTTAATCTTTATGTACAAAAACATCTCTTATATCTTAAATTTTAGAACTCCTCCCAACTGTTTTTACAACCAAATTCCTCTTCTTCACTGTCTTCTCCCTCTCTACTATAAGTTTAATGAACATTAGGATGATGTTCTGTGACATTTGGTCTTTGAGAATGGGGCCACAGGATATTATGCTGTGTAGAATGTGAACCTATACAAATTCCAGCTGTTGATGGTACACGTAGTTCTTTTGCAGACAGTCTGCTTCTTAGGCATGATGCCTAAGTTTAATTTCCATGTGTAAAGTCATACTTAAAGTATGTAAACTGAAACAGATGTTAGGACTCTGAGAATTCATTTGGTTCATGAAGGAACTGTTCCCTGGCCTCTTCGACTCCCACTTTATTTTGAAAGTCCTTTTGAATAGATAAAGGCCTCTGGAGAACCATCTCGTGTCTTTGACCCCATTAGTGTGGAGCAATTCATTCCTGGGAAACAGTTGCCCCAAGTAAATGTTAGATTCTGTTTGAAATTCTTTCTTTAATAATGGTATAATTTTCTTCTATAAACTTTTTTAATAAACTTTAAGCTTTGTTTATTATTTAATTAGAAAGCTGTTCACCCTAATAATTTAAGTTTTCTCAAAACCAAACAAGATCTTACTGATATCATTTAAGTAGGAACTCTGAAATTATTTCTCCAAAGATTAGCAGTAATAACCAGATGTTTGTGCAATACCAATACAACTTTTCACTGCTACAGTTCCAGGTATTGTATTTATAAATGAAATATTTTGAGTCTTCCAATATCTGAATTGTTGATGATAGTTAATAGATTTCCAAATGTGATTATTTGCGCTTTTAGTAATTTTCGAAAGGGAAAATAAATGGAGTTATTAGAACATCTAATTGCTCTTTTCTCTCTCTGTTCTTCTTCCTCTTTCTCTCCTTGCCTTTCTCTTTTCAAGACTATGCTAATATCTAAAAGATGATTGAAACATCGCAGTATTAAGAAACATCGAGTGTAACTTAGGTATGAAACATGTGAACATCAAATCATAATTTTTTATTATATTGGCCCAAATCTCTGACAGCAAAGAAGAGCCAATACATAATTCTAAGATTCTAGGAAGACTTAACAGAGGAGATGATGTTGGAATTGGGCATGGAAATATAGAAGGAAATTTCTGTAGGCAGTGAAGGGGAAGCATATTTTCTAGGTAGCAGAATTGCAGGAGCATTAGTATGATGGGTTTGTGGAACATAAAGAACTCTGGTATGGTTTTCCATGTTGGAAAAATTAAGAAACCAGGATGAAAAGGAAGGATGAGGCCAGAGTTACTCATGCTGAAAATAAGAATATGAATATGAATGTAATTCATATGAATATGAATGTAGTATTTTCTTTAATTAAAAGTTAATAATTATAACTACAAAGTACTTTGAGTTATATTATTCTAGGATTATAACATATGATCCTTTTTTACATAGTAAAAATTTAAATATACTCTTTTTTCTTATTAATTAATTAATTTTAATTAGGTTAATATTACAGCAGAATGCATTTTGATTGATTGTACACAATTGCAGCACAACTTTTCATTTCTCTGCTTGTACACTATGTAGCATCACACCATGTGTCCCTATGATAGTGATGTCCATCTCATGTGAGTTACTAATTTCAGACATCCAATCCAAAATACCAATTGATTACAAATTTCGGTAATTTCAAACATATTTTTTTACTTCATTATATAAACATTTGTAAAAGTCTCCATGGATTTTCTTTATCTTTAATCATTCAAGTCCATAGATAATTAGTTTCTAGATTAAGAAACAAAATTTAAGTGAAAAGTGCTGTGGATATATGGCTATAGTGCAGTATTAGAGATTAGTGGATAATTTGGTCTTTCTTGATGCTCAATTTGATGACTAAGTGGTAGCTCTAGTATACATTAAATATAAACTAGAAAGAATTTACTTATTTATATAGTATTTTCCTGACAAAGTAAAACCAATTCAAAATTTTCTAAAAATAAGTTCTTTGGTTATTTTTGTCTGGCTTTTAGACTTATGGAAATGTTTCACTTGCTCTTTGTTTTTAGACATATAATATTATTTCTCTATTTTATAAAATAAGTTATATTTTCTTGTTTCTGGTTTTGCATTTTCTTTGTTGTCTAATCACATATTTTTTGGTCTTGACACTAAAATTTTGACTATATGGAAGAAAAATGGTAAGTTATTTTATGGACCATATGTGGATGTCTTTAAAAATGTTATTGGAAGTTTGTCTACAAGGATTTTATAAATTTTATCTTTTCACAATACAACATACTTCTAAGTTAATAAAGAACCTTTCATATTGCTTGCTTCCATTTATTGCCTGACATTGAACTCTCTTTTTATTTTTTCTGCCTGAACTATAATTATAAAGCAAACAGATCTTAAGTGCTCTACTTTCCATTTTAAAGTTTCCATCAAACTGTGGTTTGGGAGTGGATAGAGAACTTTTATGAAATTCTTTAAGTTTTCTAGTCTGCTTGAGTGATTTCACAAATAAACAGTAAAGGTTCAGTAATTTCATTTATGAAAGTCACTTGGAAAAATAATTGGTTAATTCAGGTGTTTTGTCACAAATAAGTTCAGTCTTATAAAAGGATGTTATAAAGCTTATATTTTTATTTTTCCATTAAAATATTATATTTTTAGAATTAAGTGAAGGGTGTTAAAGGAATTAAGTGATAGTTTTAATCTGAAATTTTATAATTATTGAAAGTTTCCCACCTTACCTCCCAATCAGAAGTAGAAACTTCTCATTTGTAAGACTTCTTAGAGTAAGTATTAATGAGAAATAGTGATAATTTCCTTGCTTCTTAATCTTTTACAGAGTACTGTAGAACAGTTCTAGTTGAACAATTAGACTTTCTGCTTGATGAGGGCATGTGTCTTAGCATTAACAGTGGATTTATAAAAATCAATAAAATATGGGACTAGGATTCTGGCTCAGAGGTAGGGCACTCGCCTAGCATGTGCGAGACCTGGGTTTGATCCTCAGCACCACATAAAAATAAATAAAATAAAGCTATTGTGTCCAACTACAACATTAAAATAAATATTTTTTTTAAAAACAATAAAATATAAGGGTATTCTTCTCATTCTGTGAGCAGAATCTATCCTGTCATTTTGCAGGTACAATTTTTTGTTAAAAGCATACCAGTGATATTCAAAAAAAGAGAAAAATATATCTATATAAGATTAAGAGCCACAAAGGGAAAGTTTTATAAATAAAACTTCAAATCAGGGAGTGGATTGGTGCTGATTTTGAGATAACTTAGTGTTGTCATAAAAACTAACCTTGTAAAATACTCAGGTTGTGGCAACCCTCACTTATTCTTCTGTTTTTTTCTAGGTGGGGTTTCTTCAACCAAAGTCAAGAGGACCAGTTAAATAAGTAATCTAATTCACTATATCATCAAAACACTTGATAGATTCACACTATACTGATAACTAGGACAGTGATGTTAATTGGTTGTGCTGAGAATGATGTGAAGTGCCTTTTGTTATCACATGCCATTGTGGTTCTGTTATACAGGAGATGAGTGCAGTCAGTAGTAGAGATGGTGATTGTTCCCTGAGTGGCTTCTTTCCAGTGTTTAGAAAGATCATGCAAAGTAAGAGTGATGATAAAAAGAGTAGTACATATGAATCATGTTATTTTAATTTTGTTATGTTCCAATTTAAAATATGACTATTAAAGGCCATCATGGTCACTCAGGTTTTATTCTCCGGGTTGCTTTTCTATGATTCATTTTGTGTAGTATTTAGAGCAGTATTAAGAATTGATGGTCACAGATTTTTTTTTTAAGAGTCTGATCTGAATGTAGCATGTCAACTCTGTTTTAATACTTTGTACTTTTCTTTTCAAAATTATACCATCTTAGAGGCAAAAAGCAAAAGAGAACATATGATTGAGCCTGACAGTTTATATACCATGATGAGTATATTAATGTTTATGGGTTTGAGCTAATTTATTTTAGCTTCAGCTTCTATTAGATCCTTTGATTTTAGGTAACATTTTTATTCAGCTTTGTGTTCACTTAAAAAGAATAATGGAACTCAGACTTGAAGTGGGTCTCTTGTGCTAAATAATACAGCACAATTTCATGACTACCTCAGATTAGAACAGACTGTATCTTGATCTATAAATCAAGCATATGCATCTGGATGAAGGGCAGCAGTAAACAGAGCCAGTCAATCTATGTCTGGTTTGAACAGACTTAACTAATGCCCTTTTTTCACCATCAAAAATATTGTATCCTTAGTAAAAGATCTTTCATCTGCCATAACAAAATCTAGAGTTTAAGTTGCAATTACTGGAAAAGCAACTTTAATATTTTTTCCTCCAGAAAATGAAAAGCAGAGAAACTCCTGTTTCCTGACAACATGTCAACTGTTACAAATGGCTTTAAGCAAAGAAAATGGAGTCTGCGTTTTTAGTACAATCATACTAGTAAAGACATGATGTCTTGCTGCAGTATTCCTGGAGGCTAATTTATTTGTTGCTTTAGAAAGAAATTCTGTTTCCATTAAAATTATGTCTCTGGGTAGGTGATTCATAAACAGAGGATTGGAAATGGAATCAGTCTCTTGAGCCTATTTACATTCTTAATCATATGCAGCTGTTCAGTTGATTGGGGATTTTGGATTTTTCAAAGGCAAAAAGAGTATTATCTTTTGTGATTAAAACCTTAGATCATGGTTACCTTAAAACATCACCAAGTAACATAATTTAAAAAAACTAAGTTTTGAAGAAGGTGGATGTTCTTTTAGTGCACAGGTTATCTCTTTTAAGATTTTCTGAACTCAGCATTTAGCACATTTTTAAAAACCTTGCCTTTGATGCAAAACAGCTGTAGCTGTTTTGAGTGATATAAACATTCCCCCTCCACATCCCCCATAGTCTTATGCTTTCCAGGCTTAAAGCAAAGGATTTAAAACTTTGTAATTTTTTTCTTATCATGCATCTCCCATAACCGTTACCTTTTAAACTAAATAGCACTTTTTTAAAAAACTTACAAGATGAAGCTGCAACTCTTACTTGAAGCAAATAGCCTAAAAATGGTTGAAAACATTAACCATTAAAAAATAGTATAAGTGTAAAATATAGTAGACTAGCCATTAACAAATCTTCAAGTGTGTTTTCTGCTTAGGATGTGCTTGGCCAGTGCAAATAATACAAATTAATACATGTTTGATAGATATTTGAGTTGAAACAGGCAAGCCAATTACATTTATTTTTTCATTTACTTAATGGGAAGATCCTTCCAGTTTTCTAACACTTATAAATTGCAGCTCCTTTTTTTCTGGATGCTTTTGTGATGATTGTCTATGAGCTCTTTATCTCAATAATGTTCAGAGAGATCATTTTGCATCATCATTGGTAAATTTCCCACATCACAGACATTGTATTCACAGATTAATAGCTATTTCTTGGCATTTTGTATCTGAATAACATCATTTTCGTGTAGCTTTTAATACAAAAGTAAATGAGTGCAAGCCCATTTTTGAATAATTTTTGCAGTTGTGTGGCAAGAGGTCAGAGGTGGGTCAATCATGTTGAGTTACAGAACTTTTTCCCTATAGAAATTTTCCTGAAGGAACTCAAACAGTACATTTTCTGGTGGAGTTGAGCAGAACTTGATTTTAGACTGAGGGAAACAAGGATAAAAATATAATCTGTGGCAGAAAAAAATACACTTAACCTAATTTAAAAAATTTTAGCAATATATGCATTTGATGGTCTTGGATATTTCTGAATGTGTCAACTTTTAGTAGCATCTGAGAAGATATTCAGAGTTGGAGTTTACTACTTCTTTTGTTTGTAAAACATATTGTTACCCACAAGTTAAAACACAGGAGAATAAATATTTCTTAAGCATCAATTCTATGCTTTTAAATCTATGGCATAAAATTTAAATGGAATTGAAATTAAAATTGGCAATTTCCAGTACATTTTTGATAATGGATTTTCTTTCTGTTACTATGAACTTATTTTATATCTCTGGTTAAATTTCATTAGTCACTCACTTAGTAAAAATTTAATATTAGCATTTGGAAATGTAAAAATTAATTATTGCTCATGACTGTGCTTTGATCTAGGCTGAAATTATGTTTTTCTTTTATCACTCTATAAAGTACTTATAAATACTCTAGGAAGAAGTAAGCTATTTCTATTTATTGCTTTGAACAAAGGTTAAGGATTTCAAATAATGCAACAGATTAATTAATTGCCTAAAAATTAATTCTTAATGGATCATGAATTCTAACTAAGTTTTCACATGACTTTAAAAAATTGTCAGAGGAAACCTGGGACAACAGAAACTTCAGACTAAAATGTGCTATAATTTCATATTGGGTTCATGCTTGTAGATACCCATTTGGTCTTACATGCATTTTCCATGAAGAGTATGAAATAAATTGCATGCAAGTGTCTGTCTTTGGTTTAGCACAGTATTATGTTACATGCATCTGCTCTGTATTTTTAACCTAGTTCTCTTTGCTCTGTATTTCCTGCATACTTCCCCAGTGGCCAATACATAGAATGGTCTGTAGAATGCAATAATCTTAAGCAAGTTCTGTGACACTAAACGTTGTTAAAATGCAATTCAATTGTACATAGATTTCCTATAGCATTTTAAGTGTTTAAATAAATAAAAATGTTTCTTTTTATTTATTTTCATTCAATTAATCTTAATGGCTTACATTATTTTGAAAATAATGCCTAATATGTATTAAAATTATCTATTTTCCAGGAAATTACTTTTGCTGGAGTATCTTATTTATTTCTTACAGCTCACCTGTAAGTACTCCCACATATATTATCATTTCTTAGATTAGGAAACTGAGGCACATAGATATTAAATATTTCATCCCAAATCATGTAGCTAGCAAATGGCAGAACCAACATTTACATTCAGATTTTCTGTCTCCAAACATACCTTAAAGGAGACTAAATGAACACTTTGCAGTATATTAATACAAAAGGAATACTACTTGGTAGTAAAAAAGACAAACTGCTCATACATGCAATAACATGGGTTGAGGTAAACAGAATATCAGATGCTCTCCATGAGGTTTACTCCTTGATTTATATGCTTTGAATAATTCCTTGCAGTGTGAGTGCAGCAAATCATTATGGCAAGACAGCACTTGTTTTAGGGTCCTTTAGAGAAATAAAAGCAAACCTCTCAATTATAAGAGATTGATAGACAGGAGATTTATTATAGGCATTGGCTTATGTGATTATGGAAGGCTGAGACATCCCAATATGTGCCATCTGAAAGCTAGAGAAGCAAGAAAGCTGGTGGTGTAATTCAATTCGAGTCTGAAGGCCTGAGAACCAGGGGAACTAAATAGGTGCAACTACTAATCCAAGGCTAAAGGCCTTTCTGGGACTGGGGTGAGGTTGGGTGTCCAGTAGTGTAAGTCCTTGATGCTGAAGGCCCTGAAAAACAGGAGCTCTGATGTAGGAGGGCAGGAGACTATGAATGTCCCAATATTTTTATAAACTGATTGAGGAATAAAAGATTTTACAAATCTATTGTGTTCCTTATTTGCTGACTTAACCTGCCTCAGTTTGGGCTGCTAATAAAGTCTATTCCAGAGGCTGGGAATCTGAGATCAGTGTGCCAGCATGGTCAGGTTCTGGTGAAGGCACTCTTCCTGGTTTGAAAATAGTAGACATGATCTCACTTGGTGGAAAGCAAAGACAGAAAGCAAGCTCTTGCATTCTTAGCTATTATAAGGTCACTAATCCCATCAGGAGGGCCCTGACTTCATGACCTACTTTTCTTCCAAATGCTTTCACCTTTAAATGCCATCACATTAGGGATTAATATTTTTAGCATAAATTTTGGAGTGAGACAATCATGCAATCATCAGTCCATAGCATATCCTTCTAGGAGTATTCACATTTTAAGGGAGAAACTTTTTATGTAGAACCCAAAGAAGCATATCCCCCCGCAGTCATCCTGATATTTCTCAATTTGTATGATGTTAACTCTTATAGCACATTACTTACCCTAAGTGGGTTAAAATCAACATTATCCAGGCACTTAATTTCTGTGTTGGAGAGGCAGACCCTAGAGAAGAAAACACAATGATTATTAGCAAGGATTCCAGCAATCATATGGAATTTTTTTTTGGCTATGGGGATTTGAGATCAATCAGGAGGAATGTGCAAGGTGAGGCCTCACTTAGTTTCTGATTAACAAAGCTAAACTAAGGGAAATGGTCTATGAAGGAAGGGAAACATTGCAATTGTGGCTGAAAAAGGGTGCAAATTAAGGGAAGGCAGGTAGCTGAGAGTATGTGTTTTGGCAAAGGTCTTGCATGCAGTGGCAATCAGACATTAGTATGTCTTGCCACTTTAACTCAAAGTACGGAAGAGATTTTGGCACAAAATGGAGTGCTTACAAGTTCCTTTCTTTTGCTGTTCTAGGAATAGCTGACCAAAGAGGAGGTACATGAATAGAAGAATAAGAACTAGTTATTGAAACATCCAGTTATCACTTACGACTAATACTTCTTTGTAAATTAAAAAAGAGCTTGTGAGCTGGGTGCCATGGCACATGCCTGTAATCCTAGTGACGTGGGAAGCTGAGGCAGAAGGATGGCAAATTTGAGGCCAGCCTCAGCAATTTAACAAGGTCCTGAGCAATTTAGTGAGGCTCTGTATGAAAAATACAAAATAAAAAGGGCAAATTTAAGTCTCCCTGTTATAAAAAGCATTCTTCACCAACCTGTACCATTGACCATCAGACAAGACACTACTTGGGCAATGACTCATATTTTCTTTGAGTCAAAATGGGAATTTCAGAAATTAAATTTAAGTAGAGATTTAGACTGTAGAAAGGTTTCTTTCATTCTAGTCACTATTTAAGCTGGTGAAAATGTTTAGAAGTGTATTAATGAAAATGTGTAAAATATGAAATATTCCATTACTACAAAATGAAGTATCATCTAATCCCATTTAATTATGAATTTTCTTTCATTTTACAGTTGATTTTTTAAAAATCACTGGACTAAAGAATAAAATAGATGTTGACAGACCCAAGAGTAGAAGATCATACTACCTTTGGACATATGAAATGAAGTCATAGCTGGAACCAATTACTTTCTGTGTTTTCTGTACAAAGAATTTTAATATTTCAAGAAAGTTCTGAAACAATGAGAGGTTGTGGGTTCCAAGGACACATATTTTAAGTGGCACTGCTAGTTAGGAGCAAATTGGCAAAAGGTTTATTTCAATCTACTGTTCTTTCTTTAAAGTTGTCATTTGTGATCTGAGTTATATGCAGAAAACAGGAAGTATAAGACATAACTGTAAGGGCAACCTTCATGTAACTACTATTACACCTTTTTTCTTATATGGTTAAAGGTGACATCTCTTAAATTAGTTTCCTCAGCATAGACTCTTAAACTGCCGAGGTTATAGGATAGTTCATCCTTACACTAAATCAAAAGTACTGATGCTTAGCAAGTCTTCCAGGCAGAGTTAGAAAATGGATGGTTTTTCAAATGATTGTACCTTGGGCCAGGTATTGCATGTAATTTATTGTGGCCTATCTCTCTTATTACCTCTGTAATAGATTCTTACCCTGTTTCTACTTTTTTTTTTTTTTTTTACCTCCTGCTCAGGTTCAATCCCCAGTCTTAATTGCTCCAAGCTGTTTATAGCCTCAGAATAGTGGGATGGAGGACAGTTACTTAAGCTGGTAGTAAAGTAGATTTGTTTCTTCAGGCCAGGAGATGTGGAAGAACATTTGTCCTGTAAAGTTGAAGGAAGAAAAAAGGGACATCTTTGCTTTCAGAGGTAAGGGCATGTAAACTCTGATTAAGTGTTAAGGAAAAGGGGTAATCATTTGATATGAGCATGAAAGATGGTGACGATAAATAGCCATAGGGGGACATAACTACTCCTGGAGAGGATAAGATCAAAGTGAGTATGACATTTTTGAGGAAAATTTTCCTAAATGCTATAGATATTTCCAGTTCTGATTTAATGCAAGATCTATTAATGAATTTGTCAAGACACCTATTCTTAGGACAATTGAAACACATAAGTGAAACACAATATAAGGAAAACATATCCATTCAAATGGAGAGAACTTATGACCAGTTATCTAAAACATCCACCACAAAAAAGAAAATTTTAGTATGTATGAGTAAATGTGATATGTCTTTAAAGCAAGATTTATTACTTCTCTTTTTATATTCCTGAAGTAGAGAAGAAGACAGTTTATGAATGTTTCTAAAAAAGGCCTTATAGAGCCATCTTTTCAGAATGAATAACTGTTCCTTATACTAGTGGGAGAAATCTGGTGGATACTCTCTGAGGACAGTATTGGAGAATACTATACATATTTAATATATCAGATAACTAGTTTCTATTACTAAAAGAGAACCTTGAGTAAATTATACCTTGACCATCACTTCTTCTGGGGCATTATATTAGTATTTTGTTCCCTTATTACTTTTTCACTCTAGTTTGCACTTTGTGATCCCAAACAACCAACTTTTGTTTAAGAAGCAAGCAAATGAATTTTTTCTGCTTAATGGGAGCGGTGGGTTCTCATCTCAAGTTTTTCAGTATCCACAGAAACTTAGCCACAAGCCAGAGATATTCTGCATGATTCTCACTGCCACGCCTAAAAGTCTGTGCAGATCAAATGTTAAACTCAGTTCCCTATATAGCATAACTGTCAGATATTATGCATGGAATATAGGGGTAGGAGGTATCTTACCATTCTGGATCTTAAAATGGGTCTCAGAACATTTGGTCTCAGAATATTTGCTACTTTCAAAGTAGTGCGAACACATTCTTTTTTTTCTTTTTTTGAGGAAATTTTAATGGTTTTACAAACACGGATGATACTTGCAAACAAAGTCAATGTTGTGGTGATATACTTTCCTGAAGTCAAATTTGAAAAAAAACATTAAAACAAATTAGAAATATCTAAGAGTCTTTACACAATTTATACCTCCAGTATTCGAATTGATGCAAAGAAGAAATGCTCTGTACACATTTCTAAAGGGACACAACCATAATGTTTATAGCAGCACAATTCACAATAGCTAAACTGTGGAGCCAACCTAGATGCCCTTCAGTGGATGAATGGATAAAAAAAATGTGACATATATACATAATGGAATTTTACTCAGCAATGAAAGAGAATAAAATCATGGCATTATAGTTAAATGGATGGCTTTGGAGAAGATAATGCTAAGTGAAGTTAGCCAATTCCCCCCCAAAAATGCTGAATATTTTCTCTGATATAAGGAGGCTGACTCATAGTGGGGTAGGGAGGGGGAGCACGGGAAGAATAGATGAATTCTAGATAGGGAAGAGAGGTGGGAGGGAAAGAGAGGGGGCAGGGGATTAGCAAGGATGGTGGAATGTGATTGACATTATTATCCAAAGTACATGTATGAAGACACGTATTGTGTGTCAACATACTTTAAATACAGAGATATGAAAAATTGTGGTATATATGTGTAATAAGAATTTTAATGCATTCTGCTATCATTTTTTAAATCAATAAAAAAATCTGAAACTTGAAAATCAACATTATCCTAATGACTTAACTTTTCATCCAACTTCAGTAAACTTACTCTAAATAAACCTAACAATCAAAAGGAAAATCTGATTACTCAAAGAAATTATCTTCTGTTGTGATAGTTAGCATCTCATCCCAAAGTGACATTTTCTGAGCCTGAAAAAAAAAACAAGTTCAGTTTAATTCCAAAAATAAATTAGAGAGGCCTTCATTAGTGATTAAATACTGATCAATTTGCTAAATAAATCACAGAAATACTTTTTAAAGTACTCACTACCAATCCTTATCTTTGATATTTTATTTTCTTGTACTCAGAAATGAAGACTGCAGTTGGGAACTGGTAACTAATATCATTAAACAACCTTGGGAAAAAGGTGAGCATGGACCATACCTCCTATTCATTTCTGTTTTCTTTGAAGACAAGGAAGTTACCATGTTTGAATATCTTATCAGAACTTTTTATGCTTGGCTTTCTCTGTCTGCCTCCTTTAGCTCATAACCTTATTTTGCTCCTTGCTCCATCCCAGTCCTAGTGATCATGTCCAACTAGGCTGTGGTAGCAGCTGCCATATTTGATGTAATTCACATAAAGACTAACTTGCCTTCTGTGCCATTCTTTTGGTGCCTTTCTCTCTATTAGGAAGTATGGGAAGTCAAGTTTGCTTTTACTCTTCAATCCTGAATTTTTTTTCGGATGTTTAGTACCATCAATCATTTTGTCAGATATATTAGACTTTTGTCTTTGCAAACATTTTTGGTGACTTTCAAGTCATAGCACTTAGGTTGTTCTGTGGAACTATGCATATCTTGGCTTGAAGGATCAAACTAGCTGGGTATAACTGCTCTAGTTTGTGCTGGTGAGCTCCTGGGCCTTGGGGTTGCTAAACTGGGGAGTCTTAAACACAGAGCAATCCTCTGGGGACCCACTTTGAAACATTCTGCTCTATTAGATCATGCATTAGGCTAGACTTGCCAGATTTTGATAGGTTGTGGAGTGCCAAGAAACCTACAAGAATTGTATCTTTTCCAGGAATCGGTCATCTTGTTCATTAGGTGGAAAGACCAATGTGATTCTACAAGTATTGTGTATTCACAATTCAAAATGTTTCATAATGTTTCTAGGATTTATGGGGTTCAGTGAGAAACAAAACTGTGTTTATGGAGTCTAGCTTCTTGATGCAAAAATATATTCCTTCCAGTCTTTGGATATGTTAATATTGCTATATACTCATTATTGCTGGCAAGTCAAAAGCAGTTATCTTTCTCACTGGAGCAACCTTTAGCTTAGGTTGAAATAGTCTTTGTTTTTATTAATGATCCAATTAATGATGGAAGTATATTATATGATTGCCGCAGTCCGGCTGCAGCAAAATAACCGGGGGGGTGATGAACAACTTGTGTACGTTGATACAGCAGGAGTGGAAGCCGTTTATTGTAGGATAAGAGCAGTATTTATACATTCCACACAGCTTATCTAATTAACATTAACTAGATATATCAGTTAACCAATAAGAAATCTACACACTTAATGTCTCGCTGGCATTACTTCACAAACCACTCCCTCTGGCATTTTGCTAGGTGCCATCTAGATTTGTTTACGAGCTCTAACATTTCTCTGGCAAAATGCCAGGCGCCATCCTGACTTGTTTACAGACTCTAACATATGATGAGGTGGAAAATTAGGGCCTCTAGCTTATGACATTTTCTTCTCCTGACAACAGGACTAAACAGTGTCCTATTGATTGAATTGATAGATTCAGTCCTTCTGAAGACAGTAGATAAATTTTTACAAATTATAAAATGTTATAAAATATTTGGGTCATATTTTTCTACTTAGAACTTTGTAAATATTGTTCTATTACTTTCTGGCACTACTGGTTGCTGGTGAGATTCTTAGATTACTTTAATTAGCTTCTTTCCCTCTGTAGTGACTCATTTTGTTTTCTCAGAAGGGTGGCTTCTTTAGTTTACCACTCTTAAAAAATTCTTATATATATAATACTCTTCAAAAAATTTCTGTATTTAACATATAAAAATTATTGGATAACAGAGCACACAGATTAACTATGTAAGATCTATTTTAATCATTCATTTGTGCTTTTATTCATTTTAAAAATTAACTCTAGGTTTTTAAATGGAATACAATATCATACTTTTAACTTAAAAATGAAGACCAAAATGTTTTATTTGCCCACCAGCAAAATTTCCTCCAATAATAACTACTTATGTGAGTTATGTTTGAAACTTCTGAGATTGTTTCTTTCACCATTTGACTTCCTTTATGAGGATTATAAAATCCATAAACAACCAGTGCATATTGGACAAATTTGGTTAACTAAATGGCTCCCTAACTATTATAGAAACAAATGGAGATTCCATTAAGGCAAAAACCTTCACACAATGCTATTAGTTTAATTTTAACAAAAACCCCTTATCTTCTTTAACTTCTTTATTGAGGACTTATGGAAAGGGTCTCTTAGAATGCAGGTTTCTCAGCTTCTGCTAATATTAGTGGGTAAAGCAAGGAGAGGAGAAAGTTTGCCAATATGGTGATTAGAAAGACCATGACCTTGCCATATATGGATGAGTTTGTTGGGATGAACCCAACTATTAGGTATAACAAAAAACTCTAATTTAAAAAAAGATAAAAAATAAGGAGATTAGTATAATAAGAAAAAGAAGAAGAAAGACCATGATCCTAAAGTCATACAACTCAGCTTAAATGTTAGCTTTGCCATTTACTAACTATGAAAATCTGAAAAGTTATTTAACATCTTTTATCCTTGTATTATTCATATTTATAATACAATAATGATGAATATATTGTAAGAATGAGGTGGAATAATGTATGTAAAGCATCAAGAACAAAGAAAGGACGCAATATCAGTTACCATTTCTTGAGCAAAGTGAATACCAAATATGTCTGTGAAGAAAATTTGGTTTTAATTTTGTCCCTCTAGTACTCTACTTTTCTGTGGCTTTTAATAATGAGATGTCAATTTTACAACCTGGTAGTTTATCTACCAGAACCTAAGGACCCATCTTTATTTAGCTATTAAAAAAAAAAAAAGGCCTTCAGAAAGCAAAAGTGATATTGCCTCAGCAGTTAAATGTACTATTAGCATAGGAACAGTTACTAAAGGAAGGACTTTTTTTCCTGTGGGTTTTCAGAGTCATTCAGATGAAAAATCTTAGGAATTTCATGTGTACTGAAGCCTTGAATAGTTTATTTCTCACTTTTATCAAAAGTGTTAAATCTGAAAAGTATTAAGTTAGAAATTCTTTGGGTTATGTCTGAAAATCATTTAATATTTTAGATTATTTGAAAACTGTTTAATCCATCTATTCTCTAGTCCTTGGGACCTATAGGTGGGTTTCAACAGGTCAGTACACTCCCTGAAATCATATACAAAGCCAGTGTTCTATATATTTTGTGCTGAGAAGTCTATAGTATTTAAAGATTCTTAAAAGGTTTCATAGCTCAAATTGAATTTAAATTCCAAGCTACTCTCATAATTATCTTTGAAAAAAGTTAGACCAAGAGAAGATTATTTCATTAGACTATATTATTTTAGCCTGATGTGTAATAATCTTCACTGAATAATGCTTTAATAATATGCCTATATGATTTAATAAACCAAATAATAGCCATATTTTTCCCTAGAAAATACTATAAACATAATTGTTGATAGCAAAGTTCAATAATTACTTGTGTCTCACATTCGCATATACAAGTTTCAATGAAAATTTCCTTTTAGAATTCAGTGTCAGAAAAATCTTAGGTTTGTCTTAGTATCTGCAATTCCAGCTTCTTTTCCTCTAATTAAAAAAAAAAATTAAGGGGAATGCAACATGGCGGCCGGTGAGGAGACAGCACTTTCAATACCTCCACAGTAACGGGATCAGAGAGACCATAAATACACCTACATGCGACCTGCTGAGGAACTTCTAGCAAAATTCCGCTGAAAGGAGACCTGCCGGGAATTAGTAAGTCTATTGGAGGGGTCAATTTGTCTCAGATGAGTGAATCTTGGCAACGCGGACCAGGGGCACAATCCCGTCGGCCGCCGCCGAACTGCCGCTGCCCATGTGTTGCAGCGAACATACAAACAGCCGCTGCCTGACTGGGCCCCTGCCAGCCCCACCCCCACCTCCACCCCCACCCCCGCTCGTGTGAACAACTCCTGCCACCCGGCTCTGCAAAAGGCCCCGCCCACACGGTGAAAAGGCCCCGCCCCCCCGGCTCTTCGAGCAGCCCTGCCCGCATGGGGAATCAGGAGTGGCGTGGGACCCGCCGCGTGGACCTCCCGGCTACCGCTCCCACCAGTGCTGACAACTGAGGTCTCTTGCACCAGCTCCTGGGGGCGTGGCTACCAGAGGGCAAGCAAATTTGCTAGGGGTTCTCAGCCCCAAGCTCTACAAACTTAGGGTCCAAGGGAATGGCAAACAGGGAGAGTGTGCCCAGACGTCCATGAAAACAGGGCACACAGGAGCAGCAGACCTGGCGAGTAGCCAGTATTGTGGTGAGCGTCACCAGTGAGCGGGGCCTAGCTCAAGGAAAAGTGGGGAAGTGACTAGATACAAGAGAAGGCCCTAGGCACTCAGGATTGGAGAACCGCCCAGTCCGGGAGGAAGAGCTGTTGCATAGTGATAGGCTCCCGCCTACTGAGAGGAGAAGTTTAGCCCGGTGGGCACAGCTCCACCTAATGGAAGAATAGTGAATCGAACTCTAAGACTGCATTTATTAAATTTTTTTTTGTTATTGTTTTTTAAAAAAAAATTTTAATTCATTTTATTTTATTTTATTTTTTAATTTTAATCCTCATTTTTATTATTACTATTATTATTTTTTAAAATTCTTTTTAATTTCTATTTTTTTCCTCTTTCTTCTTTTCTTCTGTCTTTTCATTTCTTTTCAATTCTCTTATTCCCCCTTCCTTGAATTCTACCTGTTTACTCTCATTCTCTTTGGTGACTTCTTCCCTTCATGAGCAGCATGAAAAAGCAAGGAAGAAAAGGAGTACAAACAATGCACGACAGCCTAAATATTCAGGAGGATATAGAGCCATCAGAAAAATGGTCATATAAAGAACTCAAGGAATACCTTAGACATATGAAATGGAACCTTAAAGAGGATACGAGACAGCAAATACAAGCAGCGAAAGAACACATTGAGAATGAATTACATAAACAGATAAAAGAAGAAGTTAAGCATCTTTATCAGGAGATAGAGACTATAAAAAAGAATCAAACAATAATCTTAGAAATGAAGGAAATTATAAACCAAATTAAAATCTCAAATGAGAGTATCACTAATAGTGTGGAGCAAGTAGAAGCCAGAACGTCAGATAATGAAGACAAAATATATCATCTT